TATCTATGCCTGAGAGAACTGTAATTATACAGATTGCTTATCTAAGAAAAACACATGGGCTGATTGCAAAGAGAAACTAATGGCTTCTTTGTGCTAATACAGAGTAAGCTCAGTAAAGGGAAACATATGAATAACCACTACAAACTGATCACAAGTTCTACTATACCTCGCTAGTCTCGGGAGTCAAACCACAGTGTAAATGCAGGCGTATTCTCATAGGAAAATTAAGAAGCAAGAGGATTTGAAATGAAAACCCATAAGTGAGCTCATTAGCTGGCTATTTACTGTCCCCATCTTCTTAGTGTGGCTTCTCTCTGTACTAACCACTTCCAGAATTGATGTCCTGTTCTTTTTCAGATAGGTAAAATTTCGAGAAGACATCTCATGCTTTACCCTGCAGCTGAAACACTACATACCCTCATCACCCAACCCTGCCAAATCCCATTGGGATCTTTGTGATGAGAACAGCTACAGTCACAGAGACTGCATGTGGAGTCTCCCCAGGAGCCCAACGCAGAAGGGAGCGGTGGGGTGGATGGGAAGAACCCCATGGGCCTCAGGAGGACACAGTTTCTCTGCAGTATCTTGCGTAGGGGAGTCAGGAAGGCAAGGATATTAGGAGGAGGGAGGCAGTAGCCACGGGGAAGCCTTGCAAGTTACATCCATCTGGTAAATGCCCAGTACACACCCTACGTTGGGACGGAGGGGATAGAAAGCTCAGCTGTGAGCGTCAGCCATGAAACATCCCTGCACACAGACAAGACCACCTGTTTGATTTCACTACCACAATGGCTTAAATCCAAAGGAGGAAGAACCGAGAGCTTTACCTCAACTGCATTTTCAGTCATCAGGTCTGTACATCCAACCGAGTGCGGGCCCTTTCCTTCAGGGATCCTATAAAACTTCTCCGTGCTGCTGCTCCCCATTTCCATTGGTGCCTTCACGGACAAACCTGGGGAAAAACACAAAGCAAATCAAAAGACTGCCATGGCCTGTGTGACCAGACCATCTGCCCTGGAAAAAACTCAGTGTGTTGAAGATCCAGGAGTAGGAAATTCAAGGTTGAGCTCATACAAGAATCTGCTTATGAGAACCAGAGATCTGAAATCCCAAGTCACCAACCTGGCCTGCTCTATTGGGGAATTTCCTTGGAGCAGTGTCCTGAATCCCAAGGATCAGGCAACACCGTGCACGGAACAGAAAGGCAGGGAGGAAACGTTTGGCTGGGGACGCCACGGTGGCACTCGGGACGTCGAGATGCTGCGGTGCAGAGCGGCAGCAGTCTCACTTCTTGGGCACAAACAGGGAAGCCCAAGCCCAAGAGTGGCGAGTTTCAGACGTGAGGGCAGTTCCCTCCCCGCCAGGCTACGACCTAGAGCTGCTGCTCCTCCTGGTACGAACGGGCCGAGGGGGAAGTTTTTGCAGCTCCTCGGTAAACAAAACCGGCCTACGCATCTGGGAGGGGAAGGATGTCACGGAGAAAACCAACGCTGTAGCCATTTTTCCAAGAGGAACGACAAAGCCTGGATTTGATCCCTGGAGAGAAAAGGAAGAGCTGCCCGTGCAGGAGAGGTTATTGGGAAGGTCTGACCGTCCCCGGCCCATACCTGGGGTGACCCCTCCGAGCCAGGCTCGCCCCGGGGATGAGCCGAGCGCAGGGGGAAGCAGCCGCATCCCAGACTAGGCAGCAGGCGTGAGCAGCATCCCGCGCCGCTCGCTCCGGCGGCCGGGGTGGGTTTTATCTGCCACGTTTTCCTCCCTCGGCAGCAGCCCCGGCACAGCGTGGAGGAGACCCGGGGCCATCCTAACACACCGCAAGAGAAGCTCGGCGGGTCCGCCTCTCCC